TAATGGCCTTTAAAATAAATTGATTTTATAAAGAGCAGAGTTAAAGAAAACGATTAATAATAATATAGTTTGCAACCGTCTACCACAACCAGAGAAGTCATGGTAAAGGTGGAGGTCTACCACTGCACTGTCATGAAATCATAGATGTTAAAACAAAGCTCTAGGTTTTATTTTAGATGAACTTTATTAATGACACATCTCCTATCAATACACAAACTATGCGTAACATTAGCCGAACCTGTCGAGGGCGCAGCCACGCTGTGCCCGCCACCTCCTGCCCGCCACCTCCTGCCCGCCACTTCCTGCCCGCTGCCCTCTCTGTGGCAGCCTCTGTGTCTCTGCTCAGATGCCCCCACCTGATGGGTATTCTGTGGCCGTTGTGCGAAGTGAAAATGCCCCACATTTCTGGGTTTTTCTCCCAAATATTCACTACTGTCTGAGTTTTTAAACCTGGAGCTTTTCCCCTCTACAGAAAACAAAGCCTTTTGCTGTGAGACTTTTTGTCCAGTTCTTGTTGTATTTTTCATATTTCAAAGAGTTCTTCCACACTCTCCTAAAAGAAAAAATGAGCTGGAAAAGAGTACAGTCAGCGCTGTGTGCTAAGCTCTGAAGTTGTTTTACGAGTATAAAATGTCCCAAATCTTTCAAATCCCAAATAAATATATAATATTCCCAGCAAGCTTCCAAGCCCTGTCTTCTTGGCCCGCACCCTCACGCGCGGCCTGTAAGCTGCTGCCAGGCTGCGCTGCCCAGGCCTTCTGCGGGGCGCTGCCCAGGCCTTCTGCGGGGCGCTGCCCAGGGCTGCAGCTCGGCTCCAGGAGCACTGCCCCGCTCGGGCGCACCCAGAAGAACAAACGAAGGTCGCAAGGTCGGCAGCCAGCTCGGCAACGGTCTCCCTCCGCGCTGCCGCCGGGAGCTGATTAGCAACAGCTGCGTCAGTGTCTTTTAAAAAGCCAGTAGTTACCTTTTTCTCCTTGCTGAAACAAAGTACCCGAGACCCAAAATTAAAGAAGGAAAGGTTGATTTAGTTCAGTTTGTGGAGCTTTCAGTCCATGCTCAACTGGCTCTAAGGCAGGGTGGCACATGGCACAGGCGTAACAGCTCAAGCTGAGAGAGCACAGCAAAGCCAGCAGAGCAAATGGCAGGGAAGAGCGAGCTCTGTCCTCCCTCGCATTGTAAGCCAGGTGCCACCCCCTAGGGCTGCACAGCACGCCCACCATCCCTGTGCCCACCTCTTGCACAGGAGGAGGGTGTTTTCACCGGAGGACGATGGCCCCTGCTGAATCCTTAAACTTCTCAACTTCTCACGTTGACACAATGTATCAATCCACTACTACGAAAGTGTTCAAAATATCTTCACTATAAGGATATCATAAATGTTTGAGGAGATAAGTTTAACTATAAGCTGGGCTGAACATTATATGTATGTATGTATGTATGTATGTATGTATATATGTATGTATAAAAAGATCACATGCTACCCGACTGTCTATAACTTTTATTTCTATGTATCAATTAAAAATGAATTATAAAGATTTTTGTTGTTGTTGTTGTTCTAAAGAGAGAACTGGGGATATAGCCCAGCACCTGCCTGGCAAGTGCGAGGTCCTGAGTTCAATTCCCAGTACCAAAAAACCTCATAAATAAAATAAAATTTAAAGAGAGACCGAGATAGTAGGAAGAGAGCCAGTAGCAACAACGGCACCAGAAAAGCAGAAGTGGGCAACCCAGAACTCAGGAGCATTCTGGTGCACACAACAGCCGTGACTCAGAATGCCTGAATTGCAACTGACAAATCCACAGCCTGAGTTTTCAAGAAACAACAATCTTGTTGTCCTGACACAGCCATATGTTTTAGAGACTTGTCTCACTTCAAAACTGGGCACCAGAGCAGTTCTGACAGCGAATGGAAGAAACAGGTCATGGTGGCTCAGCTGCATTATAAGATAGTACATTAAAAGAAGGCAACACGACTGCTGCTCTTGGGTCTAGAGCAGCCAGAAAATGGGCATTGGAAAGATTAGGAGGTTCCAGTGCAGTCAGGCCGTGTGTGTGTGTGTGTGTGTGTGTGTGTGTGTGTGTGTGTGAAAAGTAGAGACAGGAGGGATGCAATCCCAGAAGCCCTTAGCAGGTGAAACAGTCCAGCACCACGGGGCGTGGCCTCTCATCCTGCATTGCCCACCATGGGGCGTGGTCTCTGATTCCAGCAGTCCAGCACCATTGGGCGTGGCCTCTCATGCAGCATTCCCCACCATGGGGCGTGGTCTCTGATTCCAGCAGTCCAGCACCATTGGGCGTGGCCTCTCATGCAGCATTCCCCACCATGGGGCGTGGTCTCTGATCCCAGCAGTCCAGCACCATTGGGCATGGCCTCTCATGCAGCATTCCCCACCATGGGGCGTGGTCTCTGATCCCAGCAGTCTAGAAGATGAGGTAGGAAAATAGAAAATGCCAGGTAAATTACAGCCTAGCAAGAAAGGAGGTGGGGGCGTGTTTAGGCGGGAGGGAGCTTTCATGGGGACCCGGGTGAGTACCTATGAATAGGGACTTACAACACACGGGAAGGAACATTTCAGGAAACAGTAATTTCACCTTTGAGAGCCCAAAGGTCTGTTTCTTGCAGCATCGGCGCCAGGCCTTATTTCAGATGATTCAACAGCGGTTTATCCAATGAGGAAGCAGCCTGTTCAGGAGTCCCTGCGGATTCCACACCGTGCAGGGCTATTTCTGGCGGCGGGGGAACAGTCGCTGGCTTCGTCTGCATTTGGTGGCACTCTGTCTTTTGCTTGCCAAGCTCTCAGCCTGTTTGTGCCGTCTACTCTCACAATGCCTTCCGAGGCTTCCTGCATTCTTATGAGAAGATTGGATGATACTTAGAAAAGCAATGAGATCATTTTGGTTTCTACATGTTAGTGAATGATTGTTATGTAGGAATTAGGACTTGTATTTCCGCACCCATTCATGGAAAATGGTCACTAAATATCTAAATACCAGGCTTCATTCTCTCTTAAATTAAAAAAACAAACAACCTTCCATGTTGGCTTCACTTTTCAAAAAGATTGTTTTGTTTATAATTTCCCTTTGTTCAACATTAAGAGGGAAATAAAATGTAGTGCTGGTTCAGAAAAAATCTTTAAGATTCTAAATTCTTTCAATGTAAGAATCTGACTTAGGGGAAACTGCACGGTACACTGAAATGCTCACCAGTAAACGAGTAAAAGGTGGTGAGAACAGAAGGCAAGGTCTGGTGTCAGCTTCAGGTAGAGCAGCTTCTAAGGAAGGCACCCAGGAAGAGCTGCAGGAGCCTTCTCTGGGCAGAACTACAGCTAGGAATTGGGGCAGTCAGGACTTAACCCGTCTTTTACTGCTTATAATGGTGGTTTCGGCTTCCATTACACGTAACAACACCAGGAAGTCACTAGGGGGACAGCAGGTCTGAAGGTAAGAACAAGGAAAGTGAGGTCCAAACAGCGCGAAGCGGAGACCTGTCAGTATCCACGTGGGCACTTAGTTTAAAAGACACTTGAAATTTGTATAACATGTCTTAACCGTGGCTGGCTGTGGTGGCGCAAGCCTGTAACTCCAGCGCTCAAAAGATTGAGGCAGAAGCTCCAGAAGAGCCTGGGCTACGGAGAGCCAAGGCCAGCCTGCACTGCACAACAAGGTGCACAGGCTGAACGTTAACGTTAACTTACGTCCTCATGTGAGGAGACCACAAGTTACTCAATAGGGCTGCTTAACTCGGTTTATCATGCTTTAAGACACCACAAAGAAGGCAAGGCACCTTTGTGTGTGCAACGAGCATCCACCAAGGCCTTCGACTTCACGTTGTGTTCCTCGCAAAATAAATTCAGTGCCAATTCTTTTTTTAAAAGAGTGGGTGGCTCTGAAAAGAGCCTTTGGGGTGCGCGCACGGGAGCGCTCACTTGGAGCTCGTGTACTTGGTGACGGCCTTGGTGCCCTCCGACACCGCGTGCTTGGCCAGCTCCCCGGGCAGCAGCAGCCGCACGGCCGTCTGGATCTCCCGCGACGTGATGGTCGAGCGCTTGTTGTAGTGCGCCAGGCGCGACGCCTCGCCCGCGATGCGCTCGAAGATGTCGTTGACGAACGAGTTCATGATGCCCATGGCCTTGGACGAGATGCCCGTGTCGGGGTGCACCTGCTTCAGCACCTTGTACACGTACACAGAGTAGCTCTCCTTGCGGCTGCGCTTGCGCTTCTTGCCGTCTTTCTTCTGCGCCTTGGTCACCGCCTTCTTCGAGCCCTTCTTCGGGGCGGGCGCAGACTTGGCAGGCTCGGGCATCGCGGATCCGAGAGAAAGCGATACACGGACTCAGGGGAGCGGAGGCCGGCGCAGCTTTATGTAGCCGAAGGTATGCAAATGAGGAGCACAAAAGGTCTCCGGCAATTGGTCAGGACACTCTGTGACATCACAGTGCATTCTCGCCCAATGAAAACACTCAGTGCGCATAGCCGCGTTCCACTAGTGTATACAAAAATGAGAAACAACCAATCGCAGCAGTGTCTTTTTCGCTTCCAGAGAATGCTATAAAGAACGCTTTCTGTCCTAAGTTCACGCGCGGGTTACTGTGTTGATTCCTGACCATAGCTGGACGTGACAAGCAAGGCGGGCGGCAAGTTTCGCGCCGGGCTGCAGTTCCCCGCGGAGCGCGTGCACCGCCTGCTCAAGGATAGCTACGCGGTTGGCGCCGTCGCCCCGAGTACCTGGAAGCCGCATTGTAGTTGGCGGGCAACATGGCGCGCCCCCTGCAGCTGGTCATCGGCGACGAGCTCAACAAGTTACTGGGAAATGAGGATCTCGCAGGGAGGCGTAGTGCCCAAGACCGAGAGCCACAAAGTTAAGGGGGCAAGGGGTTCTAACCCATGCGAGAAAAGCACCCCATACAACCCTTATAGAAAGCTTGTGCATATAAGCCCTTTTTCAAGATTTGTGGGTGGCTCTGAAAAGAGCCTTTGGGGCACGGCTGCATGCCAACTTTCTACTTCTTGGTCGCTTTCTTGGCCTTTGTAGCCTTGGGCTTCGCGGCCTTGGGTTTAGAAACTTTAGGCTTAGCCGCTTTAGGCTTCACAGCTTTCGGCTTTGCGGGGCTCTTTGCAGTCTTTTTGGGCTTAGCGGCAGGCTTCGCTTTCTTCGGGCTCTTGGCTACCTTCTTAACGTTAGCCCCCGCGGGCTTCTTGGCCTTCTTTGGGGTCTTCTTAACGACCTTCTTGGTGCCTGAAGCCTTCTTGGGTTTTTTCGGAGTGGCTCCCGCGGGCTTCTTCGGCTTAGCCCCGCCCGCCTTCTTGGCCTTGGGCTTGGCCTCCCCGGAAGCCGCCTTCTTGTTGAGCTTGAAGGAGCCCGAGGCGCCGGTGCCCTTGGTCTGCACCAGCGTACCCTTGCTCACCAGGCTCTTCAGCCCCAGCTTGATGCGGCTGTTGTTCTTTTCCACGTCGTACCCGCCGGCAGCCAGCGCCTTTTTGAGCGCGGCTAGGGAGAGTCCGTTGCGCTCCTTGGAGGCGGCCACAGCCTTGGTGATGAGCTCGGACACCGGCGGCCCGGCGGCCTTGCGCTTCGCTGCGCTGGCCCCCTTCTTGGTGGCCTTCTTCTTGGCTGGAGACTTCTCCACTGGAGCCGGCACAGCCATCTCAGCGGGAGCGGTTTCGGACATAGTGGCAGGGAAACTGAGCGCAACTACAAGCTTCGCACTGCTGCAACGGCTGCCCGCGCTTTATATAACGCGGCGCTGGCCTGTGATTGGTGGAGCGCCCGACCGCCAGCCTTGGCCGAGGCAACTCAGCCCTGGCCTCCAAAGCATGTTAGTGCCCCAAACTCGATTGAATCCTGAAAACCACAGAACAAGATGTTGTGGAACCAACGCAAGAGGACAATCTCCAGGAGATCCACAAACTTACTTGTGTTTTTTTGAACTACGAGCAGTGAGAGATACTATGAAATGTCTTTCAGATACTTGGGGAAACTGAAGGCTGAGTAGGACCTGCTATAATTACGTGTTGCAATAAACTTCTAAGTATGCAAGGAATATTATATGAAAGAATTTCCCTATAAATTCAAGGTTTGATTTTTGCAAGCAAGAACAATATTTTTCCTGTCTTGGGCATAAACTTGTTCCAACTGTGCAAGTAACACAGGCACAGGGCAGTGGTTGGTCAGTCTGAAAACAGCCACACAGACTGTACTTTAAAGTCGGTTCTGTCTAGAGGAGCAGCTTTCACCGAGTGATAATGGAGAATGGATTTTAAACTGGTGGAGTTTGGCTGTTCGAATGACCTCTCCAGGTCACTTAGCATGGTCAACCATCTCTGACCCCAGAAGCCAACCAGCCGAATTCAATCTTCAATTTGTTTTCTCGCTGAGATGAATTCTGCTTTACTTCCTCAGTTAATTCATTAACACAGTAGCGAAAAATATTACTTGAAGATAATTTGCTGCATTTCCTTCTGCCATTAGGAATAATCTGTGAGAGCCAGGAGCAGGCAGTGAGGGGGTCAGTGTCTTTCCTTGCAGTTGGACCCATGTTTTAGAATAAATATTGACTGAAGTTGGGTCGAATATTGAGCGGCTGAAAGTTATACAGACTCAAAATCATGCAGCTAAATATAACCATGGAACTGAGTTATATTTACAATAGGGAGATGACATCATTTGGGAGAAAAGAAAAATAATTAAGATTTTGGTGTCAGTATAACTAAAGGAGATTAAAAGATTTATTTAGAGCTATACTAAAACTAACAGGATCTGGATGGGGTAACCCATACCTTAATACAGCCCTTGGGAGGCTGAGGCACAATTGCCTCGAGTTCAAGGCCAACATAGGCTACATACATAGTGAGTTCAAGATCAGCCTTGACTACACAGAATCAGTCTCAAAAAAAAAAGTTCTATCATAGCAGAAAATTTATTTTTGAACAAAAATACTTTTGATCATAAAAGTCAACAGTCACTTCTTACCTATGAAAAGCTATGTTTAGTCACCAAAAAAACTTCATCTCTTCGAGATCACATGTGGGCAGTAGTCTGTTTTTGACAACCCTCCCATTAAGAATTGTCTTTGCATTTTTACAAGATTGATAAAACAACTTGCACTGTCTTAATTTACTACCTGGCCATTTGTGGGGCATTTTGGAGAAACTACCTATGCCCCTCGGCTAAGTGGGCAGAGCTGTGACAAGCACTAACATCCCTATCTTTACTCTGTGCCATTGGTAGTCATCCTAACTATGCTCTGTGGGTTTCAATTAATCTGCCACATTTTATAGCTGTACAAGTGAGGCCCAGAGACAATAAGTAACCCCCCAAAGATCAACAGTCATGGGCTACTGAGTGTTCAGAAACCACCTCAGAGCCCTGCAAGTGAGAAACCCTCACAGCAACTGGAGAGAAGTGGGGCTTGAAGTTAACTGCGGGAGCGGCTTCCCAGGGCTCATAAGTTTCTCCCAAAATGATTCCGTTTCCAAAACGCTAAGCTATAGAAGGCAAGTTGTTATACAAGAATGAGTTCAAAAACTCAAGTGAAGCAGAGGGCTGACCTCCTGGACAGGAAGACTGGCCTCTTTAACTGCCAAGTGGTTTACCCAAAAACGCATAAACAGCAAAATGGTCACAGAAAACATTTAAGACTATTGAGCAGCTGAAGACACCATCCAAAAATAATGAACTGCTTTAAATGCTGTTTACACCGTGACGATTACTCCATGAAATTACCAGACTAGAACATTGCCAAGTATTTAATGTCCCTGTGTATATTCATTGACATCGAGGGGCGTTTAAGCGTGGACTTGGAATCGCAGCTGTGGGTCGCAAAGTCGTTGACACGCTCACCAAACAGGAAACTTCTAGGAGCGACTACAGGGATGGCAGCCAAGCAACACCTAATAAAATCCTGAACCTTGCAGTTTCCCGTATTTGTCCCAATAGCATGAACCATGTTTAAGACTTAAGGCCGCCGCATACACGTAGAAATGTATGTGGTGGCCGTACAATTCAGACAAGGTTAACAGCTCTTTTTGTTGACCGTGGAGTGGGCTCTGAAAAGAGCCTTTTAGGTTTGTTCCCATAGGGGTCATATTGAGTTATGCCCGCTCACCGCGAATGCGACGCGCCAGCTGGATGTCCTTGGGCATGATGGTGACCCGCTTGGCGTGGATGGCGCACAGATTGGTGTCCTCAAACAGCCCCACCAGGTAGGCCTCGCAGGCCTCCTGCAGCGCCATGACGGCCGAGCTCTGGAAGCGCAGGTCAGTCTTGAAGTCCTGCGCGATCTCGCGCACCAGCCGCTGGAACGGCAGCTTGCGGATCAGCAGCTC